AATTTCAGATGGTTAGTTTCTTTTCATGTGCAAATACATTTACGTATCTTTATGCAAATGTGAATTCGGGTTCGAATATCTACCTATAGACCCAAGTGATCGGGGAGGAGCGTAGCATCTATCATAAGGCACCAAAGTTAAACTACCTTTCTGATAAAGGAAACGCTTCATTAAGATTGCGTAATATTTCACACCTGTCTGGTTTAGATGGAGACATTTTCTATGAAATCATGTTACGATAACTTGAGCCATGACCAAGATGACGAGCTGAGTTGGATTCTTTCTGAAGATAACTAAACGTCCTCCATACCTTATTTCTTTCAAACAAGCATAATTAGTTTATGCTTCAATTCCTACTTCCATTCCTTACCTTTATCGTACTCCTTAATCTACTGGTTTTAATTGCCTCCATAGTTTTGTGCTTTCCAGTAGACATACGATAATCGGAAAGCCAAAGAGTTAGAGGCTATTCTACCTTTATGTCTGGTTTCTGCAATGCTTTCAAATCATTTTCGACCTCGTGTTCTGCTAATATTTTACGACAGGCCTCTCCAGCATAAGAGCGACCTTTTGAACACTATTGTTTTAGCAGTGCGATTTGAATTAAGAGTCAGATTTCTCTTTAACATTGGACAGAACCGATTCTACACATTAACTTTTGCTTCGTAAGTCATCATTTAGTCACGACTAAGGAATCTGAATGTTGTTGAGATACTACATTTGTCATAGGCGTATACATGGGCGGATAACGATTTTGCCCTCAGGTTGAGGCAGGGGCATGGAGAGGCATATCTCAGTGAACTTTAATGCAAAACCATGTTTTCCCCTCATTTGATCGTCGGACCGATGCTCGTGTATTACCGTATGATAAATGGCATATCTTGACAGAATGTTTGTTAGCCTAGAATGATTATCCAGCATCAGATGCTTGGCCCTGAAAATTCAGACTGCTATGGGCTGGGGCTCACTCTTAGTGTCTGGCCCACGTCTTATGTGGATCGTGTCTTCCGTGCAAACCTATATGCCTACACTGATGCGGAAATACACTGCTTATCTATCCGAGGGTGATGTTGTGGCTGACCGAGAGTTCAAGTTCTATTCGGCTAATTTCTTGGCTTTTTGGTTTTTATGTATGCATTACAATGTGTGCAATTTTTTTTGCCGGCGCGCTTATCTTAGTTCTTTTAGGCTTTATTTTAACTCTCCTTTCAGATGCCTCCATTCTGCCATATCCTTCTCAATTTTCTCTCACTCCATTCACTTATCTTGCGTCCGTCATCGCGTTCTTCTGTATTCTACTCTTCAACATCACATCCGGCTTTGTTACTTACTCTACCCTTGTCATTCATGCCCAAAAATTACCGGCACCCCACGAACAAACATAATCACTCACTCGTCTATGTCCTTTATCCAGTTAAGAGACATCACTTATACATGTTTTAAGCATCCATTTAAAACCGAGCTATAAGGGCCTTTTGTCCGAACAAAAAATAAGGTTGAGCTGTGGGTGGATGCCGCCTATGTGCCTGCTCTGTTTGTGATTAATGTCGATCTTGCTTGTATGAACATGCATGGTTGACGACGAAAAGATGTAATTAATTTTAAAAACTACTGTGCTGAATGCAACATTTATTTATTGAAGGTCATGCCTGTGCAACATAATAGTGATAAGATTTTGTTGGTAACGCGTTTGCTTCCTACCCTTCTCTTCAATGGTATGGATCCTGTTGGAGATGCCGATTAAATGGAGCGAGGCCGAAACTGTAGTTTTTCCTGGATAAGAATGGCTTTCTGAGATGTGTGGTGAGGTAAACCTCAAACCAAAAACCAAGGCAGGCATTCCAATAAGAAATCTGTCTAAGCAGGTACAATATTTGCGACAATTAGGCTTCTGCTGGGCTAGAAGCAAAACTACTGTTAACTACAAAAGGACATAAACTATGAATGAATAGACATTGCGCTCTCCTTGCTGCCAAATTCAAAGGTAAGTCCAAATTTTTCTCACGGTTATTGAATAAGCTCTTAGCTGGTATCCCAGCCATATGTAGGAATTTTTCTAAAGATTTGCAGTCCATGTCTATCATAGACACGAAATTGCTGCAGTCTTTGACACTAAAATGTCAAATTTATAAAAGAATTTAGGCAATTTTCTGTTAAATTTGGTTACCATGTCAATCAGAAAACTAGGTGTTTTGCTACGATGTGTTTCTTAGCAAATCAAACTGCTTCGAGCAATTGCTTATGCTTAAATAAACGAAATAAATATGGTCATCGTAACATGTGCCTACTTAAAACGATTTCAATCTTTTATAGATATAATAATGGATGAGAAGGAATTGTCTCTGTGACGTTATTTTTTCGTCTTGATCTTAACTCTACTATGATGCAGCCTAACTTGTGGACTGTCTGAAAATACGTCAGTTCAGCTTTGTTGAGAAAGAATCGAAATATCTATACATAATTGTTTTATGAGAAGTTAATATAGCCTTTCCAGTCTGTCTACCAATATTTCTAGGGCACTATTACCAAGCTAAAGCCTAGGTTGCTAAAATTGATGAATGTCGGATAATAAATTTTACCATGTTGAAATGAGCAGGCCTTATGACGCAATTAAATTTTATTTAGCCTTGCTTTCTAAGAGTCGTTCTCATCTAGATGGACTGCCGTTTGATCTTGCCTTGGGCTTATGAGCACCCTCAGCGGGAAGCGAACCCGAGTAGTACAGCGTATAATTTAGAGATGTTACCACTAAGCTTCACTCTCACGAGTACTATTGGGTCATAGAACAGAAGTGAATTTCAGAACAAGCTAGATCTCTAGCTGAAGCAAACATGTATTTGCTATAACAGTTAAAGACGTTACTTTTATTCGAATTGCGTGGGCTTCTAAGAATATTAATCACTAAAATCAAAGACTAGAACTTACCGGGTATTCCTCCTGAGTTTTCTTGACTCGTTAGCTTGAATTTGGTTGTAACGATGATACTTTGCTCTGATGATGTTCTTCATATGACGGACGAAAGCTTAGCACCCTTTCACTGGAAACAGCGTAATCATGAATTTTCCAGTAAAGCCAATCGACAGCTGGTCAAGAGGAATCCGCCGTCTTCTGGTGGAATCGATTTTCGAATCTCTTCACCAAGCACTTTTACTCAAAATGGAAATAAGCACAACCCTTATTAAACAAGAGATTCATCGAAACCCAACTTTTCTTTGCATAAAATCACTCCTCTGTGACCAACTGGCCTTCGTGGCAGTGTGGCGAAGTTG